AAACCCAGCAGTTGTGTTGCAGCGTACATCTCATTTTTATGCCTCGGCACAATTTGTGCTTTAGTTCTGTGCTTTGCATTGAATTTGTCCTTGCACAAAAATGGGGGAGAGCCACAAAGACTATGCGAGCAGGCCCAGAGCCTGAGAGGGCAAGACCGGGGCTGGAGCCCCAGAGACATGGTCCAGGGCAGTGGACCTGGGCTCAGGGGCAGAGCCAAAGGAAGAGGGCCAAGACCAGAAGGCTGAAGCCCAGACAAAGGCTTAAGGCCCAAGGGGCCAATTGCTGCATTGGGCTGGAGGGGCCCACTGAGTCAATGCCCAGGAGACAGGGGCACCATGCACTGGGTCAGGACCCCAAATCAAGCCAGCCAATTTGAGCCTGGGGAGAGGTAGGGCTGGAAGAGTGCCCTGAGCTCACTGACCTTGGAGGGCCACATCCCCACCTTATTTAACATCAAGGCCTGGCAGTGAGATGGCCGGGTGTGCCCCTGAGCGGTCAGAGTGGATGCATAGGGCAGGCTCCCAGTGCCCATCAGAGGAGCGACATGGCCATCTCAGGGCCTGATGTGTTAAAATAAGATAAAGGGCCAGCCCAAGCACTCACAACCCCAGGATGTCATTTCTTAACTCCCCAGTAATCGCAGGCCAAACCTGTTTTATTCCCTTTTCTACACCTTCCCCGCTCCTCCTTGTTGCTCTGAGCACAGCACACCATCAGGACAGGTCTTGTTTAACTACGGCTCCTGCACTTGGGCTCCTTACACCAGCCATTAGTTGGGGCGCGAGACCCTTTTGCACCCCAACAGTACACACCAGGCTGCTGCCTGCTTTGGCTCTGCCGTGGCATATTTAATAGCTTGTTTATTCCTGTTTCCATAGGCATGCCTCCATGCAATGCTAGGGCATCCTTTCCTGCAGTGTCCATAGCTATTCCACTCCCAACAGCACATTTAAAAGTGAGGTCTTCTTCCTCCCTTAGTATGGCTTCATGGAATAGCCCACACACATCTGGCTCTGGTGGGCTTGTGAAGTCCACCCTTTAAATTGCCATATTCATATAATGTCCTTAGCTCGATCACAGAAGAGATAGATTCACCTTAATTCCTCTCGTGCAACCTGACCCTTTCTGCATAATCCATGGCTTGAGAGCCAGGTGCTCCTGGACAATTCCCACAATTTCTTCAAATGTTCTGGTGCTGGCTGCTCTATCTACTTGTCCTCCCATCAAATTCAACAATGCTGCTACACATTTCTGTGGGGGAATGTCATTCACTTCAAAAAACTGCTCCACCCACACTATGCATGTAGGCCAGTCTTGCATGATGCTATCATAAAGCTCCAGTTGTTCCAGCATAGGTAGCCGTTGTGATCCCAACAGATTTGAAGTAACCGCAAAGCCGATTCTTCTGGTTGCTTGAATGCACTCCCCACTTGTGGAATCCCATCTTTCTCGCTATCCGTTACATCCTTCACAATAAATGACTCCAGCCACAAGCGTGGGAAGCTGTGCTGCCAGGACTGCAGGCACAGAAAAGCTTGGAAACAGGAAGCAAAACTGTACCTGCATGGCCATTAACATATCCATCATATAATGGATATGAGTCAACAATGTGCCCTTGTTGCCAAGAACTTTAACAATATCCTGGGCTGCATTGGTAGGAGCGTTGACAGCAGATCAAGGGAAGTCATTATTTCACTCTATTCTGCACTGGTGAGGCCACATCTGGAGTCCTGTATCCAGCTTGGCAGTCCTCAGATGCATCTTCCACAGCGTTTTGCCCCCCCCCCCCCCCCCCCCCAACTATAGAAAGGATGTGGACAAATTGGAGCAAGTCCAGTGCAGGGCAATGAAAATGGTTCAGGGGCCAGGGCACATGACTTGTGAGGCTGTGGGAACTGGGTTTATTTAGTCTGCAAAAGAGAAGATGGAGGGGATTTGATAGCAGCTTTCAACTCCCTGCAGGGGGATTGCAAAGAGGATGGAGCTGGACTGACCTCAGCGGTGGCAGATGACAGAACAAGGAGCAATGGGCTCACCTTGCAACAAAGGAAGTTGAGATGGGCTATTAGGAAAAACTTTCTCACTAGGAGGGTGGTGAAGCACTGGAACAGGTAACCCAGAGAGGTGGTGGCCTCTCCATCCTTGGAGTTTTTTAAGTCCTGGCTTGACAAAGCCTTGGCTGGGGTGATCTCTTTGGGGCTGGTCCTGCTTGGAGCAGAGGGTTAGACTAGATGTGGCCTCCTGAGGTCCCTCCAACCCTCGTTTTCCATGATTGTGTGATTCAACAAAAAGTAACTCTAGATGCACATGAGCAGATTCGGTACATTCACATATCCCACAGGCATCATCACCTGTAGTATGAAGAAAAATTGTCAGGGGTCATGTAGATTATAGTATGCCATGAAGACAATATCAATATTTAGTCCTTGGTTGATTTTCATAGGCACATGGGGCAACTAGGCAGCAACCGCCCATCAAATGAAAGGCACCAAAGGGCAGTAGGTTCAGCATTTCAAATGCCAGCCAAACTCACAGGATCCAGGGCTCCACATTACACAATTCAGCTCTGAGCGTATATGTCCACACACCTATTAAGCATATTCAGCAGTTCCTCACTCTGGCGAGGCAAGTGCACAGTACATAACGCTCCCACCGGTTCTTGCACAAGATCTGGTGAGCACATCCAGACGAGCCCTGTCGTGCAATATGTGGCGGTGCAAACATGTTTGCACCGCCACATACCGCACAGTCTGGAGTTCCTCACAGTGCAAGGGCATGCTGTCCGAGCGTGCGTTGCTCTGGTTTTTTTTCCATGTTTTTTGGCCCCTGGATACAGGGTCAAAAAAAAAGCAGAAACAAAAACAGAGCAGCGCACACTCGGGCAACATGCATTGCTAAAAAGTGGACCTGGGCCATTCAGAACGGCGCTAGGGCTGCCGACCCAGCTCCACCCAGCATGATCGCCATGCCTGCAGCTCTGGGAGGTCCCCAGGACCCCAAGTAAGGTTGCTGGGGCTAGCACTGTGCTGCCCCCAGCCTCTCCTATGCCACCCAAGGCAACCTGCCGCGTGCCAAAGTGTACATGGCACAGGCGTTCCCCAGGAACAAGAAGCAGCAGTGCAAACTGCACCGCCACTACCTGTCCCTGGGGAACCAAATGACCACACTCATGTGGACATGCCCAGTGAATCTCAATGTTGTAGCCAGGCCAAATCCCATGACAAGCAAACATTAACATCACAGAAGGAGGAGGATCCCTCCCAAGGTTTTACCCCACCTAGCATCTCGTGCTTCTGAGCACAGTGCTTTAACCACCAAGCCGCAGGTTAGGCGTAGAATCATAGAAAATGAGGGTTGGAAGGGACCTCAGGAGGTCACATCTAGTCAAAACCCCTGCTCAGAGCATGACCATCCCTAACTACCTCATGCCAGCCAGGGCTGTCTAACCAGGTCTTAAAAACCTCCAAGGATGGAGACTTCACAATCTCTCTGGATAACCTGTTCCAGTGCTTTCCTACCCTCCTAGTGAGAACGTTTTTCCTACTATCTAACCAAAACTACCGCACTCCTCTACCATCTACCACACTTAAGGGGCAGCATCTACCACACTCTCCAGGCCTTTCCATGAAGCTGATATCCTTGGGTAGCTGAGAGTGGGAGAGATACTGGTATGTACCTGTATGAGATGGATGCTGTCCTGGATGAGAGGGAAACTGGGTCGCTAGCCTGGGGCCTCACTCCCAGTGGGGTCCAAAGCTCCCCGCTTTTTGTGCAAAGACAAATTCAATGCAAGGCGCAGAACCTAACCTGCGGCTTGGTGGTTAAAGCACTGTGCTCAGAAGCAGGAGATGCCAGGTAGAGCAAAACCTTGGGAGGGATCCTCCTCCTTCTGTGACGTTAATGTTTGCTTGTCATGGGATTTGACCTAGCTACAATCAAATTGTGCCAAGGCATAAGAATGAGATGTACGCTGCAACATAACTGCTGGGTTTGGCATGGAAAAGACCATAGGATTGAGCCCTTCACTTTAGCGGAGCTCATTTCCTCCCAGTGGGTGCATCTCCATGTGCGTTTTACTGCAGAGCTGACTAATTAGCTCCAAAGTAAGGCGTCACCATCTACATGTGTGCATATATTAGAGCACAGTAAATTAATTAACCCCACTGTAGGATAAGGCTGTCCGGGACAAGTACTATCCTACAGCAGACTGTTTACATGTGCCGATGCACACATGTAGATGGCAATTGGGGTTGGCTGGGATATGACAGTGCTACAGTGAGGGGGCAGCCTGGTGGCTAGCTCCACACTGTAACACCCCCATACTCCAGCCAGCCCCTCTACAGCACATTGAGCTGGGTCAGAGCAGCCCCAGGCCGGCAGGCGGACTTTGGGTGCCCCCTGCCAGTGGGGGCTACTCCGCCCTGGCTCAATGTGCTGCAGTCCCAGGCATACATGTAAATGCTGCACCTGGGAGCAATAAACCCAGGCATGAACTGCACCAGAGTTTATTGCTACATGCTAATTGCACATGTAGATGCACCCAGTGTTAAACATGACATAGTGCATACTTAGGACCATCATTTCATTGACCCCCCACACAGGGAAGCTCCGAGCTGCGGAGCCAACACTAATACCCCATCATGCTTTGCTTAGCTCAACCATACATGGCCAGCCTCCACCAGATATTACTCCCATTCTCCCGCAGCAGTGTGTCATGCAGCTATGGTATGCTTGTGCTGTCATCAAACAAGTGACTGCAGCCCATATATATAAATCCAAGCCACTTTTCCACAAGCTAACAGGCACCTGCGTAGGCACAATCGGCATGTGAGCTGTTGTGTTCAATCAAGCACCCGGGATTTGCACCAGAGGAGAATCTGGCCAAAAGCCTGATTGTATTTCATGTCTCTAATGAAAAGAGCACCTCCTGGTTTCCCACCAGGGTCCCCTCAAGGGGCATGAAAACCCTTGGGCAATAATAAGGACACAGAGGCATCGGTTGACTTGTCTGCAATTTATTGAGAATGGCCATACCCCTAGAAAATGGGGCAGACCATGAGCAGAAAAAGTAAGGAGACAATGACAATACAAGCACATTCTGCATCACAGAAGCCTTTGCCGAGAACATTTTGCTCTGTTACCGTAGAAAGAAGCCATGCACACATCAGGCAGAATTGAGTGCAACTAATAAATGACAGGACACAGGATCGATAGCCACTCATTTCGGGCAATGTTGGCTGGAGTACACCTGGGGTTACCCAAATAATGCATCTGCCTACTCGTTCCAGAGAGCGGATGTATTGACCTCTCTAGACACCAGCAGAGAAGTTTCCTCCTGCTCTGTTCTGTCTGGGCTGAACTGTTACTTCAACATGGGAAAACATGGCCTACTGCTGTTTGTAAAGCAAGAAAATGCAGGACGTGCGATGCAGTAAACTAGAGCACCCAAGGAAACGTGGCCATTGAAGAAGAAGGCTCAGGAAAGAGAAGGGAAGAAGGAGTTTTATACACATTGCCACAGGGCAGTCTCAACAGTTCAACAGGTACAGCACAGCGAGAGAGGCAGAGCGCTCCTCCCTTCATCTACCCTCTGCTAACTGCTAGCCTCCAGGGATGCGTTTCCTGGCACAGCTCCCTAACTTTGCAATATTGCTTAGGTCTGAACAAGACTCTGGAGCTTGCTGAAAACCCAGGCCCATGGTGGCGGTGTCCAAGAAGGTGGTGTCTTCTCACACGGCTCCCCCTAGGAGCACGGGCATTTGGCAGAAGAGGGTCTATGGAGGGGGTTGAGCGGCCAGGGGCACAGTTCGTTTCTTTTCTGGATGCCAGGAGTGGGTGGAGAGGGGCTGTGCTGCAGCCAGGAGAGCAAGAGAGAACTGTTGTGCCCTGGGAAGAAGGACTCCCAGGCTTAGTACCTTCCTCCTGAAGATTTTACGGTCGTGGTCGTGATGCATTTTTTGATAGATGAGGCGGATCCACCGCCGATGCTGCCTCCGCCACAGCTGAAGCCTCTTCCGCTCCCAGAGGAGTAACCGCCGCTGACCATGCCACCTCCGCCGATACAGCTGCCTCCGTACCCACCTCCTACCATGCTGCCTCCAGAGATGCCTCCTCCGCCAATCCCGCAGGGTCCTCCCATCCCGCCGGCTCCTCCAGGCCCGCAGGGTCCTCCGATCCCAATAGGTCCTCCGATTCCAATGGGTCCTCCCATCCCGCAGGGTCCTCCGATCCCACCTCCACCTCCAATGCCACCTCCGATGCCACCTCCAATGCCACCACCGATGCCACCACCCATGCCACCTCCGAATCCACCTCCGAATCCACCTCGGCCTCCAGAAATGGTGGTCCTGCCCACCACCGCTGCAAGGGAAGCACAGGTTCGCTGTCAGTCCAGCCCATGAGCCCCACAGGAACCCAGCCCCAGCAATAACCCACATGGAAGGGAAAGGGAAATACTTACAGACATTCACGTTGGACCCTTCGGACATCCTGTGAGGGCGAAGGAACAGAGAGGTCAGTCAACAGTGAAAATAAGTCCTGCTGTCACTGAGACCCACCCAGCTATAAAAGTCACCTCCGCAATGCAATTTCTGAACATCTAGCCTAGTTCACTTCATACCCCCTTGGCCAGATCCACCTGGGTATGGCACTCACCTGCACTCCTCCCCTTCCAGCAGCTTCCTGTACATGGCAATCTCTATATCCAGGGCAATCTTGACATTCAGCAGCTCTTGGTATTCCTTCAGCAGGCGAGCCAGCTCTTCCTTGTCCTTGTGCAGGGCGCACTCAAGCTCTTCCAGCTTGCACCTAGCATCCTTGAGGGCCATCTCACCCCGCTCCTCAGCCTCTGCAATGGCTGCCTGCAGCTGTTCACACTGAAAGAGAAGGGAGATGTCTCAGTTTCCTCGGTCATAGGCATCATCAAGGCAAGAGCTGGTTGGAACATGGGACACAAAGAGGGTCCTCCCAAAAGGAACACCAGGGGAGAGGTCAAGCCCAACTATCAATCGTTTTTGGGAATAAAAATGGAAATTTGTGGCTGAAACAGAAGTCAGGAAGGTTCAGTCAGAAAGCTGGCACCAAATCTCAATTTGTTTTACCCAGTTTGGACACTTTTTGCCAAAACATCCATTAAGGGAACACCTTCTTTTGCAGGGGATCAGTTCTCTGAATCTGCACTCAGATCAGCATGCGCAGAGGCCAGACTAGCCGCAGCAATGCCGACAGGCTAGAAACCATCTCTACTGCCCCTGCCAGTACTCCCAGGGGATGCTGCCCCCGAGCCAAGATGAAGGAATAGCTCCCAGGCCTTACCTGCTTCCTCACGTTCTCGATCTCACTCCGCAGTTTTTGGATACACCGGGTCAGCTCCTGGATCTCTTGTCTGGTGTTGCGCAGGCTTTCCCCATGCTGTCCAGCTGTGCTCTGCAGCTCTTCATACTATGCCATAGGGAGAACAAACTCATTAAACATGAAATTCAAACAAGCTTTTGAGCCCCTTTATTGACCATCATTGGAGAATTCATAGGTGCAATTTGCTCAGCTCCTGGGATTTGTCATTCTATGGGAAAACCCACAGGCTGCGTACTATGTGCTAATGCCCAGTGATACCATCCTGCATCTTGAAGCCTCTGCAGAATGCCTGCAGAAACCTGGGAGAGGCAAAGACTATTTGGGGAGTGATACCTTCCACTGACCAACTGCATGGTTGGATTAAAGTTAGACAAGCTTTCGAATGCAAGACATTCTTCATCCAGTCATGTAGACACATGATCATGGGTGGGTGTAGCAGGAGCTCCTACATGGATACCTGCACTTCAGACTAAAAGGGAAGGTTTTCTATGTGTATTCCTCTGCAAATGAGCAGCATTTGTCAATCAGCAGCAAGCAAGACTTAACATCTCTGCATCGTTCACTAACGAATTACTCACCCTGCTCTGGTACCAGGCCTCAGCCTCAGCTCTGCTGCTCTGAGCGATCTGTTCATATTGGGCCCTGATTTCATCAATGATGCTGTCCAGATTGAGATGTCTGCTGTTATCCATAGACACGACCACAGACAAGTCGCGACTTATTGTCTGCAACTGAGACAGCTCCTGCAAAACATCAAAGCACGGGTCAGCTCTGCTGAGTGTTTCATATCTGCTTTTGCTCTGCTATCCTGCATTCCCACTGGTTTGAACTAGACCAGAAATATCTTGTTGTAGATTCAAGAGTTTCAGAGGAGAGATCGAACTTGCAGTACAGAGATCACAACAGTTTCTTTTCCATGCTTTTATCACAATAGCTCTGGTGAGAGCTGGTCATGATTCAGCTCTATTGCCAGCTGCCCAAGAGAAGGGGGAGCTCCTTACCTCCTCAAACACGTATCTCAGGAAGTTGATTTCATCAATCAGGGCTTGCACCTTTGCTTCCAAATCTACTTTAGTCATGTAGGCACAATCCACATCCTGAAGGAAAGATCAAAGGGACAGAGAATTGTTTAGTTGCCCACAGGTCACTGAGCATGCCAGTCTGTCACACACAGAGAAACCTCACTGTCAAAGCCCTAAAACATATGCGTAGCTGTGGGGAACATGAAGGACAGTGATGGCTACCAGAAAAGTACTTCCAGAGGTAGTTTTGTTGGCCACATATGGGCATCTATTTTTTTGGACACCTTGCAAATTGGGTATCCTAATCACGGGCGAGTAGGTTGTACCAACTCCTTACTTAAGCGTTTGAGCCCTGTCTGCATCTGGCATATTAACTCAGGATTTTGCTTTGCAATGGATGTACTCTCATTAAAGGGGGAACCCATTGGTCTCGCGGTGAAAGCCTCCTCCTGAGTTCTTTCATTAATGGCATCACTCACCTTCTTCAGCACCACAAATTCATTCTCGGCAGACGTGCGCCTGTTGATTTCCTCTTCATACCTGTTCAAGGGAAAGGGACAGGCTGGGCTCATCTCATCTTTACTGTCTACATCCCCAAGAAACCAATGTATGTAACAAAGGACACAAGCCAAGTGTCATGTGAACAACCTAGGTATCTAAGTGGGATTTGTCTATATAAGGTTCATACATTTGGTAGGAGGTGTGTTTTTGTCAATAGGTCTTGAATTTTGGAAGTGCAAATTCGTCAATCAACCTTCATTGATGTCTCATGAGAGAAGAGTGTTCATCTGGTTTTTTTTCTGTATGTGGAAATCTCCCTCCCTACTGTGACATGTCGAACCCGCTAGGCTACAGCTGCTGTCAAAAAGTTAAAACTTGAGGGAGGCCATCCTGAAGGACCAAGCATATTGGAGCTGAAGTGTCTGCAAATGGTTTCTTTTTCACTTACTTGTTCTTGTAGTCTTCAACGTAGCCTTGCATGTCGTGTAGTTGTGACTCTAGTGGTCCCCTTTGACTGAGGACATTGTCCAGCTGCCTTCTCAAGTTTTCAATATAATTTTCATATAGGGCAGTGAGGTCCCTTCTTGGCCCACTGGGGCCTTGCTGTTGTAGAAGCTCCCACTTTGTGGACAGAACCTTATTTTGTTGCTCCAAAAAGCGGACCTGAAACCAAAGCAGATAGATGTATACATCATTCCTACTCTGACTAGGAAGAACAATGGTAATTCAAGCATCCTCCTGGATGGTAAAGCCAAGGATGTTGCTCCATGGGGAGCAGGTGGCACAGGTGGTACTCCCCAGGTTGACCTGCTCTTCAAAATCAGAAGCATTGGCGAAGTGTCAGAATTGAGCTGAAACTTCAAAGCAGGTTTGGATACAATGATAAAATGTCATAGATTGGGTAAGCTAAATAAGAAAAGTTTCTACCCAGATTGTCAGGATGTTCACTCCCTACCTTTCAACTACTTGTAAAAGCAGATTGAGATATTGCAGATGCTTGCAAGTTAGAAATATCAACAATATTGGCAACAATAATGTTTCTTGCACAAGAACCCCATACCTTTTCTTCCCCCAGTCAGCCTCGTTCCACATATGTGGTGACAACCAAAACGAAGATACCCGCTTGGCAATCACACAGAACATAAATCAATGCTCTCTGGTAGAACAGAATTGATGCTAGGGAAATTCTTTTAGGTACCAGGTCATCAAGAGGTCTAGGCAAGAGTAAGTCTGCTGCACCTAGAGAACACAAATTAGCGGGCCCAGGGTTTGGATATACGAAGGTAAAATCACAGATTTGGAAAATGAAATGAGACATTACTAAGAAGTATTCATCATTAAGCTAGAGGATAGAGGCACCTGAGATGTGTAGACAAGAGCAAGACCTGTTAATGAGGCCCCAAATGATGTAATACCTTCAACCTGATTCACTAGAGCATCCTACAGTGATAGCAGAAGCATAACTTGGGGTCACAACATTGGCAGCCAGGACGTGGCAGACATTGCTTTTGGTCTATGCCTTTGGCTGAGCCATTCAACCCCTTCCCTAATACATCCAGAGTCACATGGTCAGGCCCCTGCTTTCCTTCCTCACCTTGTCAATGAAGGTAGCAAACTTGTTGTTGAGGGTCTTGATCTGCTCCTTCTCATGTTGCTTCACCTGCTGGATCTGGGGGTCAATCTCCACATGGACTGGCCTCATGAGGTTGGGATCCACCTGAACAGGTTGGATGCCACCAGGATACCCAGGGCCACCTCTCCCAAGTGGAAAGCCAACACCGGGACCACCTCCTCCAAAGCCACATACTGGTCCCATGCCACCTCCACCGAAGCCACCACCACCAAAGCCACCTCCACCAAAGCCACCTCCACCAAAGCCACCTCCCATGCCTCCTCCATAGCCACCTAGTCCTCCTACAATGCAGCTTCCTCCTCCTCCATAGCCACCAGCTCCTCCGTAACCCATCGCCCCGCCACCAAAACCAACACCTCGGCAGCCATATCCTCCGCCATAAAACCCAGAGGAAATCCTTCCGCCTCCGCCTCCGCCATAGCTCCTGCTGCTGAAACCACCACACCGTCCACCACCTCCATAGCCCCGGGAGGAATACGAGCTGTAGCTGCTCCTGACTCTGCTCCCCCCTCCACCGCCGACGGCAGAGCGTGAGCTGTAGCACTTTCTGCCACCTCCGATGCTTTTAGTATATGTCTGCAGAGCCATGGCTGCTCCTCCCAAGCTGAGTGTCAAACAGAGAGGAGGGTCACTGGAGCTGTGCTGCAAGGAGTTGAGTGCAGGGAGGATGGAGGAGAGTTCCTCTGACTCCGGGGCTGGAGATGCTCCCTTTTATCTGCTCCAGGAATTGGGCTGGGTTTGCCTGGGCGTTGAGGAGGATGCCAGGTTATTGTCTCCCTGCGCTTGGCGTGGCTGACAGATTTTCATCTTCAATGTGCCAAACATTGACCCTACCCTGGGACACACCCTTGCAATGTAGAAGAGGGAGAGAAAAAAGGAAGGATCATGCAACATCCACCCAGTGGTAGCAAGCAGTGTATGTTTTAATGGTCTCTGAGAAGAGATTTCTTTCAATGCAGCATATCTTTTTTTCCTCCTTCTCCCATTTGCATTACATGGTTCCCCAGTTTACCTATATCTTTATCTGGATCTTCCACTACAAAGCCCCATGGCAGGCTGACATTTTAGTGCATGTGAAGTTATAGCATGGCTTTCACAACTGCTGGAACACACCTATGATTACACCCTAAAACTGCTTTCTACATGGAAAATTGCCCTTGGCTTCTGAGATCATTTCCCAATCTAGCTGAATGGGTTGCAAATCAAAGGGATTCTGAATCTTCTTGTCATTTAAATTTAAGCAGAGAGGCAGTACCTGTGTTCTTCTCATTGGAGCTTTCATAAAACCACCTTCTGATGGGAGCTCTTTTCATGGTTGGACTTAATTCCAGCCCAAGGCAAACCCTGGAATCTGATAATGTTGACTGTCTGGTGTCTTGAACAAGCTGGGTATTAGCACAGATAAGACATATCCTGTACAACATGGAGAGCAAATCTTCTTGTCCTCCAAGCTATTCTTATGGCTAAAGCAAACAAGCAATGCAGAGACACACCGCTTGAGAGACTGGGCCCTTTTAGCCTGTGAAGAAGAGTATGGATGGGCAGACACACACACACACAGATGATAGAACAACTCATGTAACTGTTTTAATGCGATAGCTAGATACGTAGATACAGGCATAGTTCATCTATCACGATGGTGCTATCTGAATCGTAAATAGTTCAGTTATGAACCCCGATAACTGTTGTATCAGGTTGTTTGCATGGGCCCATGCACCTCTGTTGTATCAGGTGCCCTAGCTTATTTAAGATACAGAAAGAGCAAACACTATTTATAAAGGATCGTGCAGGGATCATTGGAATATTATTTACCAAATATAACTTTGGGATAATTTCACCGAGTTTCACTCTTTTTCAATGATTCAGTGATTTTTTTCTCCCCTTAGTATCCAGCCAGTCTCAGTAAGCAATAAATACCATAGGGGAGAATTTTTGTGTTAGCCCAGGTATGGTGGAGTTGTTCATTAGCCCAGGTATTCGATGTTGAAATCTTTTAGCATCTAAAAATGAAGAGGGGCTCCAAATGGGATTTTGAAAAGCTCCTCTGTGGCTTTGGCACCTGTACATGCCTGAAAACCCCACCATGCACTGAACTGCATATTTAGCTGTTCAAAGACCTTTGAAAATCTGGTGCATTTTCAAAAGCAAGTGAGGCAGCGCATTGAAGCATATGTGCCATCAACTTCCGAGGACACTCCGAATGTCTCAGTGCTCAGCAGCCGGTGTCCTAGTTTCAGCGACGTCGCTCCTTTAGAAATTTTCTTTTCAAGGTTAGCCCTTCAGTGCTTGTGACGATCTGAGCCAAGGGCTCCTTGAAAGTGCAAAGAGCTCCTGTCAAAACAGGCTGCATGTGGGCAGAAAATGACAGTTTTCTCTGCCGCCTGGAAGGAGAGAGCCTTCCCTTTAAGTAAGCAGAAATTAAAATATAACCACGGCAGTCTCCGTGCCACACTGGCACTTTGGCTCTGTGGCTTTGTTGGTGGCTCAGATTCATTCTGCCGTAAGAAACCGGAGCCCAAAGAGCTTGGAGGTGCTGTGGGGTTGCATTTACAACCAGCAGTGGGTTTTTTGCTCTTCCCTCCTTCGGGATTGCCAAATATGGAATTTTTTTTCTTGTAGGGAGGGCGAGTCGGTTAGAAAATCTCAAGTCCCAGCTGCTTTGCAAGGGCAAAGGAGTTGTCAACTCAGCAAAGCGTGAAGGCGCTAGCTGCAGTCACTGAATACATTTAGATAAACATGTGTGTTGGGTAACAGCGGTGTCTCCAGGCAAGCTCACCAAATTAAACTGTGATTTTAATATCATCATCTGCCCGTTCAAACCTGACCGACAGCTCCAGCATCACACACTGAAACACCGCGGTTGTATTAGGCGCCCTAAGTGAGGAGAAATGCACAGGCAGAAGTGCTGAGAAAGCTGCTAGAGCTGAGAAATGTGATTCTGGGAAGAATGACTTTCCTGAAAACTCAGTTCCAGGTTGACGAGAAGTGTTTGCCGTCTCAGCCAAGAGCTGTTCCCTGTCCGTTCCCTGCAGCTACAACCCCCTCCGCCGTGCCAGCATGCAGGGCAGAGCTATGCCATGCAAGCAGCACGGCCCACCTCCCATCTCTTTTCAAGCTCCTTGCAAATATTTCCACCTGACGTACAGGGAGGTAGGTGCAGGGGGTAGCATTTGCTTTCAGACATCTCATGAGATCTCAAAGCCAGTGTTTCATATTCATCAGGATCTAGCACTCACTCTCTGTCAGCTCGAGGGAATCAATCTTTTCAAAGAGAAAAAAAGATTCTCTCTGGGGCTTGTACCATGCTCACCGTGGGAACTGGCCAACCAGGCAGGTAAAATGTTAACCTTGCCAGCATTAAAACTCCCCTGGATTTTACCTTTTCCCAGCCTCCTCCCCAGACAGAATATGGATTTTATGCTTTTAATTCCCAGCATCCAGGAAAAAAAACTGCCATTGGATCATGAAGTCGACAGACCCTCGGAGTGGGCAACACAGTTCTCTCTTTGTGTTGGATGAAATTTTCCATTTGACATTTTTTTTTCTATCAATAAATGGCATCTTTGTCAAAACATTCATTTCGGCAGGAAATATCCATATTTGACACAAATAATTTGGGTCAATGTTTGTGAACTGGCCAAAACAATTCCGGAAAAGCAAAAATATTTTATTGCCCCTGAATGTTTTATTGCCCAGGAAAAAAATGAGTTTTGACTTTAAAAAAAAAAAAAATCTTCAGACTGTGCTCAGGAAGAAAAATGACCCAAATTATTTTCATTTATTTTCAAAGTGAATTTTTATGGGCGTTGGGAGGGATAAAAGCATTTCCTGCCCGATCTATTTAAAGCGGTTTGTCAAGTATTTTCAGATCTTTGGATGAGATCGTAAGCGTTGCAACATGAAACCCTCAGCCAAAAACCAAACCAACTCACTGCATTCCTTTCTGAAAAGTTTTTAATGAGATTTGTCATACACCAAAGAAAAGAAACTCAAATAGCCAAGGAGAAGTTGTTTCACCACTCCAGTGAGAAACTACACCTAGAATTGCCTGCAAATATTTTACAATTGCTTATATGTTGGTGAACTGATATTAGCTCATTACAGAAAAACTTTGCATCAGGTAGAAAGCCTCATCTGCTGGGAATAGCTGTCACTCAGAATTTGGTACTCAAAGGGACTGGAGCCTCCTCAGCTGGTGTCAGCCATTGGCCACAATGAAGCTAAATGGATTTATACCAGCTCAGGATCCAGCCCCAGATGTTTAAATCATCAATCCATTTAATTTACTTCACAGAACATAATGTTAGGGTGTGGCAGAAGAGCAACTAAGGTGTCTTGCTGCAGCTCGAAAGCATGAGTTCAAGCCCCACTCTAGACTTTTTTCCCCTAGATATTACCCCCCCTGTGAATCAAATATCACTAATTGGCCCCAGATGGACTTCTAGCGTAAGCCCCTTGAAGTCAAGGAGTTGCAACTCACAGGTGCATTTCATCTCCCTGGAGAAAGCTTCCAAAAGCATGTAAAAGTGATTTTGGATGCTGCAAGGTTGGGTGCTTCCCCAGAGACACAGGGCAAGGGCCTGGTTTTCAGATGGTCCTTCTGAAAATCAGGACCTTCTGGCTGCGTCCAGATGAGCAGCACTTGAAATCAAGAGTCAGTTCTGACAGTGTCTTGAGGAAGCTGCCACCATCCGTGCTGTGTTTCTGGGAGGAAATAGCTAGCCAGGAATTGAACTTTAAGGAACAGAGTTGGTTTCTCCTTTGCACATCAGGGTTGGGTTGTTGGCTGACCTGGGGCTACCGGATACTCATGCACGGCTCCATGGCCTAAATATTCTTGCTCGCTGATGTGGACATGGTAGTTTTTTTCAGGATCATGCTAGATCCCCCCCCAGACCCATACACGCCTCCTACCGAGCACAGTCCCCCCCCAAAGGCTGCCCCACCCCCACCCAAATTGCAGATCCCTCTGCCGCTTCCAGAACCAAAACCCATTCCAAAGCCTCCTCCACCGCTGCCTCCTCCAAAGCAAATCCCGTGTCCAAATCCACCTCCAGAGGTACTGTTGCTGCCCATCACGGCTGCAGAGGAAGAGGAAAAGGGATGGTCAGCCCCTACATGCAACCCCAACCCAACCTAGCTCCTGATGGAACAAGGGGAACACGCAAGGTACTTACAGATGCTCACAGCACTTTGGCAGTCTCCAGACATCCTAAGGAACGAAAGGGGAACAGGTCACTCACCCAGCAAAGCCGTTCCCCTGCTAGAGCCAGTCTTTTATCGAGACCTCCTCTGCTAATGACCTTGGTCAGCTCAGTTAGAGAAGAGCCGGTCTCTACCTTGCAATTACTGTTGGGGGACTTTTGCCCCTCAAAGCTCTCCCACCCCCCATAGCAGAAGCCGAGTGCCGTGCATGCATTCACAGTAGTGGACAACTGCCATCCCCGAGGAGCTCACCCACTCAACAGGGTAGGACAGAAAACAGATCTCTGCTATTTTTATAACTGCAGAACTTCCTCCAAAACCAAAACCTGAGTTACAACAGAATCTTAATATACCGGTATAATATGCCTGTGCCCTTTTTAGTTCCCAGAAAGTCCAGAGCATCCCTAATCGGGTCGTTTTAATAGGGGAATCACAACATACTCTAAGGACAAGATTCATTCCAGCTCTTAGGCTTAGATGCCTAACTGTGTTCCCATTCCCTGCTTGGGTCCCTCAAAAGCAACTCATGCAGGTGTCCTGCTCTTGGCTGCTTTTTTATGACTCAGTGTTAAGGATCAGAAGATGGTGAGTGACAAAAAGCAGATGTGAGACAGGTTTTCTGTCTTGAACAGGATGGAACAGAGTTTCATTTAGGCACCGAAGTCCGCTTGCTACTTAATAGATGTCGAGCACCAAGTCACTGTCAGGCCCAGGATGTGGTCCTCTCCACGTTGCACCCACCTGCATTCCTCGCCCTCCAGCAGCTTGCGGTAGGTGGCGATCTCGATGTCCAGCGCCAGCTTGACGTTCATTAGCTCCTGGTAGTCCCGCAGCTGGCGGGTCAGCTCAGTCTTGGCCTTCTGCAGGGCGGCCTCCAGCTCGGACAGTTTTACCCTCGCATCCTTGAGGGCCAGCTCCCCGCGCTGCTCAGCATCCGCGACAGAAGTCTGCAGATTTTCACACTGCAAGGCAAATGCAACATCTGTTGAATCTGGCTTAGAGTAGCACAAAAATCATCTCGTCATCCAAACAACACATTTGGGTCTCCTCTTAGGGGTCAGCATAGGGCTTGTCTACATGTCACCATACGGTGATGTTGCCCACCACGGCTGTCCTTTTGGAAGTACTAAAGCACGGCTCAGTATGGGCGGCTACTGCGCCATGCACACGGCGCACGGTTAGATTTCACTAGCTTAACGGTTTCACGGTTAGATTTTACTAGTGCGCTATAACCGGGGAGTGCGCCGCTACAGCGGCATAGCTGGCGATCACATGTAGACCCACATGATTGCTACATTGCCGTAGCGCATCGCTATGTCACCATAGGGCAACGTGTAGATGTGCCCATAGACTTTCAGCTCCAGGTTTCCCAGCTGCTTCTCTGGAAGCATGAGGTCTTTTTCTAAATGGAAGATGAAATTCTCCTGTAAGTCCCATGCCTCCATAAACTGAGGCCTTAACAAATATCAAAGCACGAGGAGCTTGCAATAAAGTCATGAGGATGGCCTCCACTGCAGTCACCGCTCCAGAAGGACAACGTACACCTCTAGAAGGACAAAGGGAATTGCAGTGGAAACTAATTGCTCATCAGTGCTTAGCTGTGGGCTAGTTTATCAGCAGACAGACAGGCCTCAGGAAGATTTCCTTTCATCATGAGCCTCTTCCAGGTCATATACCCAAAACTCCAGCCCCTCACCTGCTTCTTCACATTTTCAATTTCCGCCCGTAGCCTCTGGATCATCCGATTCATCTCTGAGATTTCAGCCTTGGTGTCCTTTAGGCTGTCTCCATGCTTCCCGGCTGTGACTTGCAGCTCTTGATACTGTTGGTCAGAAACAAGACAACAACCTCTTCAGCTCAAGGGTGTTCCCCTCAAAGCAGACCCCTAACAGCACTCAGAATATATTCATACTGCCATCAGATTGCACCACGGGGAGACATGAGCGCAACTAGCTCTTGGTAGCTTGCCCACGCTCTTGAGCTAGCTAGACTAATGCAAGAGTGGGTATGTCTAACTCCACTAGAATCACACCTCTGGAGATGTCTCGCTCAAAAAGGATGGTGTCCAAGGGTGTTCACTGCAATGAGGGTGATGCTCCAGTGCTGATTTATAAAGGAAGAAGCCTCTTGCCTTTCGTGCACCCTGCTTCAGCAAACCCCTTTGGGAAGTCTCCTAGTTGAGGGCGCGTGCATTTTGGGACCTGCATGGTTTTCTCATGCTTGTGGCTGGCCAGGAGAGAGCAGAAGGGGCTGTCTGAATGCAACGGTCTCCAAGAGCCCTTCTGTGGAGCAGCACTGGGTGGGGTGGCCTGGGCTTCGCTCCCCTGCTTACCCAAACCATGTGCAAAATGCTTTAGCATCAGGTGTATTGTGATGACAAGAGCAAGGGTGGACATCAAGCCACATTATACACATTATACACATTATATACATTATACATATTATAAGGCTCCTTTCTGCCTACACACAAATAGCCGCTGCTATTGCTTGGACCTACTCAGCCACACTGGCATTAGGAGGTAACACTGAGTTCAGCCAGGCCTAAGCTTTGATCAGAGCTGGACTCAGGAAGACCATGAATTTCATCTGTGGATGGCAATAACCATTCTGCTATGGGGGATAGCATTGGCTTTCTATTTGCTTTTCTGGAGCAAAGAGAGTGGATGGCTGGTTGCTCCCAGCTCCGTATATCCATGGCACGTGGCATTCAGGCTCTGCTCCCTGCTTCCACTGAAGTCAACCACAAAGGCTCCCAGTGACTTCAGTGGTGTGGGATCAGGACCAAGGCACGTCATGACTCACCTTGCACTGGTACCAGGCCTCTGCTTCAGCTCGGCTCTTCTGAGCGATCTCTTCATACTGAGCTTTCACCTCGGCAATGATGCTGTCCAGGTCCAGGTTCCTGTTGTTGTCCATCGACAGGACCACGGATGTGTCGGAAACCGTCTGCTGCATCTGTGAGAGTTCCTACAATTCACGCAAACACGGGCTTTAGACTTTCTCATATCACATGCTGTCCTGGGGCGCAGCCCCTTGCCATTTGGGACCCTTTCACCTTCTAAGGATCTTGGTGAATCTTCAACTGGACACACATTCAAGAGACCAAATTTCAGAAGCCCTCCCTGAAAATTCGTCCCCTTTCAAGATGTCTGAGATCAGGCATCCCAAAGTCACCAGCACTTGAGCTTACCCAAGGGAAGGTTAAGCGATTATATGATCACAGAGTTTTCCTGGGGAAGAGAGTGCTGATAGCAGACAGCAGCAAAAGGCAAAACAGGACCCAACATTTGGAAACCAAATGCCAGACCACTTCCAGAACAGAAACAGGCTAGAAATAAAACACAGTCTTTTTAGCAGGGAGATTAAGCAACTACTGGGATAATTTGTCCGAAAAAAGGATTCACTATTATTTGACATATTTAAATCAAGACCGGACCGCTTGCTAAAAGGGATGTTTTTGGTTAAACAACTGCAGAGACCTCAGCGGAGATAATTCTTGGGACTGTGTTATTAAAGAAGTTGGATTAGAGCATTATCATCTCCCATTTTGGCCTTAAAATCTAGCATGCTTTGAAAACTGGGGCCCTCGGGCTGTTTACTTTAGAGATTCCCAAGACATAAGCCGTATCACACGCAATGAAAGAAGATGTATTTAAAGGAGGAAAAACACATAAAAACACCTTCCACCCAGCTCTCTAATAACCCCTGCCAGCCAACTCCCCAGTCCCACTGGTTACAAAGACCATGAACTCCTTACAGCATCATAGACACATCTCAGGAAGTTGAGTTCATCTGCCAGGGAATCTAATTTTGCCTGCAGCTCCACCTTGTTCATATAGGCAGCATCCACATCCTAAAAGAGAGATGGGAAAGAGGGAATCCTTCCATGTACCGCAGGCTCTCACAGGCTAAGAAATCAAAGAACACTGCTTGAAAAACCTGGATCATCTACAAAAAAATAAAAGCTGCAATCAACTGATCTGGATAACGAGGAAAGTGTTTGCAGCAATGTCTCCAGTGTTTCCTTGGGCTTTCCCTGAATATAAATATGTTTCCACCCTTTTGCTTTCCACGTGGACCGTGAACTACTACGTGACAAAGAAATGAATGACACCGATAATGTGCACCTGAATTAAGGTGAACATATGCAATGTTGTAGCAAACGGTGTATTTTGGTGGCAGAAACCATAAAACCCTTCTCCTCTCCTATCAGCCAGACAGCATCTCTGTTCTTACCCTTGTTCTGTGCCAATTAGGGACGACATCAATTAAAATAGTTCCTCATTCCCAACATTGCCAGGCCCTTATGGCTCACCTTTTTCAGAAGCACAAAGTCATTCTCTGCAGCTGTTCTTTTGTTAATCTCCTCGTCGTACCTGCGGATCAGACAGGGAGAAACTGAATCCCTGGTTTAAAGGGGGATGATGCTGCCTTGAGCAGGGGACTGGACCAAATAGGAGATGCAATGGAGCCATAAGCAACTAAGAATCACTTCCTTACTTGGTCTTGAAATCTTCCACCAAATCTTCACAGTTCTTCAACTCTAGCTGCAGTTGACTCTTCTCACTGGTCAGACCATCAAGCTGTTTTCTCAGGCTATTGATATAAACCTCATAGAGTTGGTCAAGGCTCCTGCTATGGGGCCCCGTTCCCTGCCCCTGTTCCTGCAAAAGCTTCCACTTGGTCTCCAGCACTTTATTCTGCTGTTCTAGGAATCGGACCTATCGGCCAACAGAGAATAAATGGGAAAAAAGTCATAAAAGCATAGAAAAGTAGGGCTGCGGGGGCCCTCAGGAGGTCACATCTAGTCCAACCTTGTCCTCAAGGCAACAACCCTGCATCCCTGATTCATAATCCTATTGATTCACCAGGGAACAATATGCTTCTCACAGAAAAGAACCCGATATCTGGGAGGAAAATATTTTTCCCCCACCTAAAATTCCCTCTCATAAGCAAGAGAGATTGCAAATGCTGATCGTTCTCCTTTCAGAGAAAGTGCAGTAGCAAACAGATGAGGAGGATCCATGTCAGTACTGCCAGTTCTGGCAACGGATGGTGCCAATCGCATGGGAAAAGACACTTTGCTTACCTTATAAAACATGGTGCAGTGTAAACGGAGGTAGCAGGCCAGGTTCTAGAGCATGGATCTGGCATGGACTTTTCCTCGCCTTTCTCCCTCTCTTTCACCATCTTGTCTATTGAGAGTGTTAATACTATGGGGCCGGCACTGCCCCTGACAAAGCGTCTGGACAGTACCCGGCACTATCGGGCCCTGATCTCACTTGGGGTATCTAGAAGCTATTGCAAGGCAAAGTCATAAGAGACTTTGTT